CCCTCTCCCTCTCTCTCTCTCTCTCTCTCCCTCCCTCCCTCTCTCTCCTTCTCCTTCTCTCCTCCTCCTTCTGCCTCTTCCTCCCTATTTCTCTCTCCCATATCTCTCTTATTTTCTCTCTCTTCCTTCCCCTCTTTTTCTTTCCTTTTACTTTCTCTCTCTTCCCCCCATATCTCTCTTTCTTTTCTCTACCACATTCCCTCCCCCTCCCTCTGTCATTTATCTCACTCTTACCTCTCTCAAGTTAAGACCACTGAGGAAAGCCATATGTACAACTTATAATGCAGTAATGTGTATGTTTGTAGCTTGACTTAATTACTTTCTTGAACTCTTGAGTTTCTACCCTATTTAATTCAATCAGGGTCAACTTGCATAAGACTACATTACTTTTAAAGGGAAACCTAACCCAGGATTTGCATTTCTCTAGAAAAAAAGCTAACTTCTTAAGATAGTCATCTTCGTGACCCACACAATTTTACCCCAGTACCTTCTGGGAAATCTCAGGAAGAACTTACCTTCCAGGACTGTGGTATTATAAAGGATCTTGGGCTGAAAGGGAGCTCAGAGGCCATGTAAGCCAAACATCTCATCTCATTTTACAGATGAGGAAACTGAGGCCCAGGCAGGTAGCTGTAAATTCCTGTTTCCCACAGGTTATGTATGGGAGAGGCCCAGAAGTAGGAGAGTGGAGGAGATGAGCAAGGAATGAAAACAGCTCCATCAGCTTCTGTGGTTTGGGAAATGTTTGCCCCAAGTGCCTGTTAAAGTTCTCACTGTTAATCTCTTTTTAGTTTTTTTCCTCCACCTCTTACAGGCTTCTATCTTCAATCTCCTTTCCTTCCTTGCTAGTTCAAACTGTAACTGACGATGGGTTTTCTTCTCGACTGGCTTCATTTTTGCTGTTCTTCCAGGAGAAAAATCTATTACCTGCCCCGCCGGTACAAGTTCATGAGCAGGTTAGTAACCTATTCATGCCAGGTGACTGTTCTTTGGTCCACTGGTTGCTGGATTCACCAATTGCAAGAGGTTACAGGCTGGGACAATGGGTATTTGCCACGTGGGAAAGCCTGCCAAATTCCAGATTTAAAAAGGCTTTGTTTCTAAATATCATAAAAGAGAACAAAGCTAAGAATGGCCTTCTCAAAGTCTTCTGTTCACTGCAGCAAGCCAGTCCTCCATACTTGGTAGGAACTTAGTTCATCTTGCAAGTATATTTGGGGGAAAAACTTTTTTTTCAGTGCCTGGAATCAGATAAATTGGTGCTTTCCAATTCGGAAGGCTTTTAACATCTTTGGCTTGAACGATACCTTTTTTTTTCCCTCCCAGTTAAAATCATTTCTCTTCTACCCGGAAGTACTTGAAAGCTGTTCCAGCTTTGGTATGAATGGTATTGGATAATAGAGATTTGGGAGTCACCATCTTAGGGAAATCATTAAACTGATAGGAACGAATAAAGTCACCGAGACAGTAAGGAGAAGTAGAAGGCCTAGGACCAAACCCTGGAGAATGGCCACATGGGCTGAATGATGAGCCAGCAAGGGAACCTAAAGTGTGGTCAGACAGAACAGTGGAGAACATGTCTATGTCTATTGAAAACACAGGACTTTGACCTCACAGGTACATTAAAAGCCATCCAATCTAGTCCCCTCATTTTACAGGTGAGACCAAAACAAGGAAGGTTGCTTACCCAAGGTCACACAGCTATGAAGTGTCAGATCCAGAATTCAGACCCAGGTCTGCTGGTTCTAATCCAGTTCTCTTCCATTATCTCACATTCCTACTCATTCCTCAAGACTTAACTCAGGTTGCGCCTCCTCTGAGAAGCATTCCCTGGTCCCACTAATCCAAAGTAGAATTTTTTTCCTCTTTAATGACATTTGATCCTATCTTACAGCCCACTTTTCTGCTCTGTATTGTGTAGTTATTGCACAGTGTACATTATTGGGTATTCATGTATCACCACCCTAGACTGGGGGAGGAAGTTGGAAAAGGTGCCGGATTTGGTCTCAGAAGACTTAGGTTCCCTGACTCTGCCATCGATTAGCTAGGTGACCTTGGGTTAAGTCCCTGGGACTCTATGTCCTTACCTGTAACATAAAGGGAGTTGGATTAGATGGCCCCTAAGGCTCCCTTTCAGCTCTAAGTCCATGAGACTGTGATCTTATGATTGTAAGCTTCATGAGGTCAGGGTGTCTATTTTAATGATCCTATCTCTTCCAATGCCTGGTACAATGACTGGTATACAGTAGGCACTAATAAGTGGTTGGCAAACTAATGAGCAAATAAATACATTTGGCGATTGGCAAAGAGATGATTGTGAAGCAGGAGGAAATTACCATGGGATATAGTTTGGAGAAGAGAGTAAAAGAAAGAACCTTAGAGATTGGGATGCAAATGATTAGTCATGAAAAAGGGAGAGAAAGAAGGAGTCGCACAAGCAGGAGGAGAACCAGGATGGCGTGGCTCTCTGGAGGCAAGACAGGAGATAGAATCCAGGAGGAGAAGAATGGGCAACCGTGGGGTCTGCTGTCTAGAGAGGAAAGAGGATGAGGACCTCCCCCACTGCGTGCACTGCCCCATTCCCCAAAAAAAGACCACTGGATCTGTTTATCAGGCTTTTCCAAAATGGCCATTTTTGTAGAGTGATAGGGCTGGAAGCCCATTTCAAGAGGGTTAAGGAATCACAGATGGATGGATGAATGGATGGATGGATGGATGGGCGGGTGGATGGATGGATGGATGGATGGATGGATGGATGGATGGATGGATGGGTGGGTGGATAGATAATTAGGTAGGTGGATAGATAGAGGACACAGGTAGGTACATGCATACATATACACATATATACATTTATGCATGTGTATGTATACACACACAAGCTGTGTGACTCTGGGCAAGTCATTTAACCTCAGTTTCCTCATCTATAAAATGAACTGGAGAAGGAAATAGCAAAACCACTCCAAAAAACCCCACATGGAGTCACAAGGAGTCAGACATGACTGAAACAACTGGGAAATTATGTGTGTATGTATTGTATATACATATATATTCATGTATACACATATATGTATGTATGTATATAAAAATATACACACAAATACATATATACACGTATGTATATATATGCATACATGAATATAATAGATTTTTTAAATATTAAATTCTAAACTTAAAAAAAAAAGTAATGTTTCCATACATGCTGGAAATGATCTGTAGAGTCAATATCTCACAGCAGATTAAAAGCTGACCAGGAAAATATGGGGTTTAAGTTCTGCCTTTTCAACCTACTGGCTGGGTGACCCTGGCAAAGGCACAGCCTCTCAGTGCCTGCAGGCAACTCTCAAGAAACAAGTTGTAAAGTCGGTGCTGCCAGCCACTGGTGCACTGAGTTTTCTCCCCTGGGAGTTTCTTACACCCGTGATATCACAGGTTCTGTCCCTATCTCTGTCTATGGAGTGACTGGGTATTGAGGAAAAATGAGTGTGGACTATTTTTTTTTTCTAGAAATTTGGCCATAAAGGAAAGGAATAAGCAAGAGAACAAAAAAGAAACAGGAACGCTCAAATATTGGGATTGTGAAAAGTTAGTTTATTCTGGGGAAAATTTGAGCCGTTTGTAGGTGGAGGGAAAGGAGCCTGGGGAGAAGGAGAAACAGGCTTAGAAAAAGGGGATGATCCTTGGAATAAGGTATAAGGGGGAAGCCAGAGGGAATGAGATTAGCAGCACAAGTAGATAAGGGTTAACTTTGGAAGGTGGGGGGAGGGTTTATTTCCCCAGAAATAAAGAGAAAGGAGGCAACGATATGAAAACACACACACACACACACACACACACACACACACACACGCAATATGTAAAGTAGGTCCATGGTTCTTAACCCCTTCATTTCAGTCACTAAAGCAATAGCATACCTAATGGTAATTCTCCAGCCAGAGAATGTGAAAAGGCAGATCCTAAGTGTCTCCAAATGACAGCAAAGGGACTAATCCAATCTCTCCAGCCGTTATCAGTCCAGCAAGTCCTGGTTTCTGATAGAATAAAACTTAGTACCTGCTTAGTCACCATGACTGTGGGTCTCTGTGACACTAAAAATAACAATAGTTATAAAATAACAATAGAAAATTGAAAAAAAAAGTCATTCAACAAAGCATTTATTTTGAATCCACATTTATAGATCTCCCCCCTCCCTTGGATTTGTCTGTTTTTATAGGTCTCAAATAAATAGAGAGAGGCCTGGTTGGATGTGAGTAGCATGATGTGCTTTTCCCACACCATAATGAGATTAAAAACTCTCCCATCCAGTCTCTTTATAAGAGAAGAGACATTGACACTCTCCCAAGCTGACTTCTTTGACTTTTTCATTTTAACTAGAATTTTCAAGCTAATAATAAGCAATATTTATGTAGTTCTTACTATGAGCCACGTATTATGTTAAGTGATTTACAATTATTTTCTTATTTCATCCTCAAAACCTTGGGAGGTAGATGCTATTTATCCCCATTTTGCAGATTAGGAAACTGAGGCACATAGAGGTTTGCCCAGGGTCACACAGCTAGTGCCTAAGGCTACATTTGAAATCGGGATCTCCTGACTTCAGGTCCAATTCTGTATCTACTATGCCACCTGACTGCCCCATGATAATTTGACATGTATAATGCTTTAAATTTTATAAAACATTTTTACATATGTTATCTCATTTGATCCTTACTTTGACCCTCTGGCGGTATCTTATAAGGAGACACAAACACAAGAATGAAACCATTCCTGCCCCTAAGAAGCTTCTGTTGTATTGGGAGTAATACAAGACATATGTCGACTAGTAAATATGTAATAATATACAAAGTAATTTTAAGAGGGAGAATATACTAATGCGGGGGGGGGAGGTTCTTGCACCCCTAGGTCTCATCTTAGGGGTAGCACCTCAGCCACTCCTCCTTTAAAGGATGCTAGGTGTTCTCGAAGGTAGAGGTGAGAGAGTGTTCATTCCAGGCCGTGCAAATGTTCAAGGTATAATGGGCAAGCCAGCGTGGTGAGAATGAAGAGCCCATGGAGACGAGTGATGAGAAATAAGCAAAGGTCAGGAAGGGAGAGGTACTGTACAATAGAGGGTCTCAGATGCCAGGCAGAGGATTTTCTATTTTATTTATCTTAGAGACAACGGGAGTCAGAGATGTCTCTTCTCCTTCTTCACCTGTAGCTAACCACTTGCTAAGACTAGACAATTTTATCTCCCCAGTATATCTTGGCTGTCCCTATACCAGCCTGGTGCAGATCCTTATTAATTAAGCATTTATTAAGTACCTGATATGTGCTGGGCTTTGTGCTAGGTCCTGGGATAAGATACAAAGGTCTGTCCTCCAGCAGTTTACATTCCTTTTTTTTTGTTTGTTTTTTTGGTTTTTTTTTTTGGTTTGTTATTTTTTTAGGCAATTGGGGTTAAGTGACTTGCCCAGAGTCACACAGCTAGTAAGTGTCAAGTGTCTGGTCTGAGACCGGATTTGAACTCAGGTCCTCCTGACTTCAGGGCCAGTGCTCTATCCACTACACCACCTAGCTGCCCCTGCAGCTTATATTCTAATGGAGCTTGTCTGGATAAATCTCATAACAAGTCCCCATCCTCATTCTCACCCCACCTCCAATCCATCCTATACACTGCTTCCTGTCTTGATTCCCCATTGTATATCAGATAAAAAAATAGACTTCTGAGTTTAACAGTGGAGTCCTTGCTTGATCTAGTTTCAGCTTATCTTATTTCTCACTGCTCCCTCCCATCACACTCTGTACTCTAGCCAATTGTGCCACTTACTGTCCCCTAACAAGGTTCTGCCCTTTCCCTCTCCCGGTCCCTGACCTCTCTCCCTTTCCCATTTCTGCCTATCAACGGCCTACCTCACTTACCTTATGTGCCTTCGAGGCCAAGCTCAAATGCCATCCCACAGTGTCATGATTAAAAAAG